TTTGCCAGTGGCTTTATTTCCGCATTTGAAGCATTCTCCGGTGGCGATCCTTTCATTGCACCCCCAACGCGCACAGCCCCTTGGGACCGGGGGCTGCTTCAGCCACAGGACTGCAACGAAGCTGTAGGTCTACCTTCTGTTGAAGGTGGGCATTAAAATGTTAAAGGCCATTTTTCACTTGATCTCGGACCGTGGTCTGAGGGCTCAGGTTAGAGAGTGGGGGGCATAGATTCAGACTCTGCCCTCAGTCCCTTCTGCCTCCCTCCGGCAGAATGGGCGCAGAAATAGAAGAGGCTGTTTTGGAGCTAACGTTCTCAGGATTTGGGCTCTCAGGGATAGGGGAGAAGGTGGCTGCTGGTTGAGAGGGTCTGAAGAGAGCATTTTTTAATTTGGGGAAGATCAGAAAAGTGAGAGAGAATGGCTGTCCGGATAAAATCTTTCCCAGCTGCAATTTCTTGCAAAGGGAACTGGCCAGCTACCTGTGAATTTAAATTGCTGGCAGTCATGGGGGCGGAGATTTGGCGGAGCACAAAGAGTTAGGCGGGCGGTTAGAATGAGGTTAGAATGAATATGAGCGCACAGGGGGAACAATGCAACCTCCTGTGGGCGGGGGCATAACCAACTGCTTAACTTCCTAACTCTGTCTGGAATTCCCTGATGCCTTGGCTCCTACCCTTCCTGGGTCCCCTGGTTATCATTTGTCTATTATTAATATTTGCTTCTTATCTCTTACAGTTCCTTCAAAATTGGGCAAAAAACATCACAAAGGTAGCAGTTAACCAGATGCTACGACATCCCTGCTCCCGCATCCCCCTGGACCCTCCGACCCAGGGCCCATAAGCCTACATCCCAACTAAGCCCGAAGCAGCCAGAGCGGTCAACACCCATTATCACTAAAAGGTCGAAATGTAAGGTCCAGGTGGATACGGGGCGCCAAGGGAACCCCAAACACAAACTGAACACTGGCAAGGGACTTTCCATCTCCACCAAACATCCCGTTTCCAGCCCAACTGCAAACTGCTACAAACATTCTGATAGCGACCGGCAACTGACAACAAACCTGCCCATATAATCTTCCCACTCCCCCTATTGTGTGTGACTCCCCCGGCCTGTGCTTGCAGACCGAAGGACCTCACCCGAGAGCATCTGCCTCTTGAATAAACAGTGCACTCTGCTTTTAATTTGGACTCTGGTGCCTTTCTTCGGTCAAACGTTACAATAGTCACCTTTTCTCAGGAACAAGGGTGTAGTAGTGATTTTTTTTTTTTGTAGTAGCGATTTAATGAAAGTTGTACAAAGACCATCACTTCACATCTGGAAATGTCCCTCTTGTTAGTTTGGGTTTGCTTTGGAAAATGAAGGACTTACTTTTTTTTTAAAATATATTTTATTGATTCTTTACAGAGAGGAAGGGAGAGAGACAGAGAGTAAGAAACATCGATGAGAGAGAAACATCGATCAGCTGCCTCCTACACATCTCCCACTGGGGATGTGCCCACAACCCAGGTACATGCCCTTAACCGGAATCAAACCTGGGACCCTCCAGTCCGCAGGCCGACGCTCTATCCACTGAGCCAAACCGGTTTCTGCGAAGGACTTACTTTTATTTCCTCTAGATCATTGGCTTTTTCATGGGAGCTTTAAACAATCAGGCCTTGATTCTTTACATTTCCCTTCGATTCTATACTCACATGAGAGACATACCCTACACCAGCGGTTCTCAGCATGTGGGTCGCGACCCCTTTGGGGGTCGAACGACCCTTTCACAGGGGTCAATAAGACTGTCGGAAAACACATATATAAGTACATATTGTTTTTGTGATTAATGACTATGCTTTAATTATGTTTAATTTGTAACAATGAAAATACATCCTGCATATCAGATATTTACATTACAATTCATAACAGTAGCAACATTACAGTTATGAAGTAACAACAAAAATAATTTTATGTTTGGGGGTTACCACAACATGCAGAACTGTATTAAAGGGTCGCGGCATTAGCAAGGTTGAGAACCAGTGCCCTACACTATCATTTTTTTGTATTAAAAGTTTTCAAGAATGACATTATTAATGTATGTTCAGTTTCATTAAATTTCTACAACATGCCAAAACCGGTTTGGCTCAGTGGATAGAGCGTCGGCCTGCGGACTGAAAGGTCCCAGGTTCGATTCCGGTCAAGGGCATGTACCTGGGTTGCGGGCACATCCCCAGTGGGAGATGTGCAGGAGGCAGCTGGTCGATGTTTCTCTCTCATCGATGTTTCTAACTCTCTATCTCTTTCCCTTCCTCTCTGTAAAAAATCAATAAAATATAAAAAAAAAAAAAAAATTTCTACAACATAGCTCTCCACTAATGATACATAAAAATTTTGAAATAAATGTACTAATAAGAAAAATGAGTTCCCCTAGGCTGGAGTGATGTTTCTCTCTCTTTCACATATTTCTCTCTCTCTCCTCTCTCTCCCTCTTCTTTTCCTGCCTCTAACACCCTGACTTACACTCTTGTAAAATCAATGGGACATATCTTCTCATGGGAGGATTTACAAGCACAGAAAGGAAAACAATAGTCTAACTTGTTTTCTATTTTTATCTTTGCTCCTTATTGTGATTATAAAACACAAAAGGGATCATATACAAATGGATTCATGAGATTTATGCAGTCCCTCAACCATCTCGATTTCATACTTGTTAAATGTGCCACTGCACACAAGCTGTAAACGTTTTTTTAAGCAACATGTCGTTGTTGGTTTGTTTGTTTTAAAAAATATAATTTATGATTTTTCACAGAGAAGAAGGGGAGAGGGATAGAGAGTTAGAAACATCGATGAGAGAGAAACATCGATCAGCTGCCTCCTGCACACCCTCTACTGGGGATATGCCCTGCACCCAAGGTACATGCCCTTGACTTGAAATCGAACCTGGGACCCTTCAGTCCCCAGGCCGACGCTCTATCCACTGGGCCAAACCGGTTAGGGCTGGGACCCATGTTTTTGAGAACTCTTCTCGTCACCTCCCCCTGCCGGAGTCGCTGGGGCCAAGGGGCTGTGCCCACCCGGAATCCCTAGGAAACTGTGGTCGATAGGACAATAGCCCCTCAAAGATACCCACACCCTAACGCCCGGACCTGGTGAATGTGTCATGTTACATTTCGAAGGAGGATGCAGATGTGATTAAATTAAGGATTTAGGATGCAGAGATGAGCCTGTATTATCCAGGTGGGCCCAATATAATTGATCTCAGGGTCCTTATAAGAGGGAGGGGAAAGGTCAGTCAGAGAAGGTGAGTCAACGCCAGCAGCCCGAGCGAGTGATCCAGGGCCCCGAGCCAAGCAAGGCAGCTGGAAAAGGCAAGAGAACAGATGTCGGTAGGAAGACAAGGAGCCAGGTTCCGTCGTGGAACTCTGGGAATCCTAAACTTGGACTTACGAGCCTTTCTCTCTTGTTAAGGCATATTTGTCAAGGCAGGAGGATCCAACAAGT